AAGGAAGGAAGGACTGTGGGGTGCGGGAATGAGACGCATGTGCGTCGTTTCAGTGTGTCTTTCCATAGGCTCCAGGCCGCACGGGAGTATTGGGGATCCCCAGGAATGTCTCATCCCAGCACCCATGTGCAGGACAACCACCTCACAGGAGTGGACATGCTTAGCTGGCTGTGGACACAAGCTAACAGAAGAGGGCAGGCGATCCTGGCAGGAGAGCCTTCCTTCCTTCCTTCCTTCACCTCAGTGGTAAGTGTCCATGGCATGAATAAAGGGCCGGGACAGGCTTGTTTATAGCAGGATAAAAGTAATAGCTTATGAAATCACAGAAAAAAAGCCGGGTGGTGTTGGCACACTCCTTTAATCCCAGCACTCAGGAGGCAGAGGCAGGTGGATCTCTGTGAGTTGGAGGCCAGGCTGGTCTACAAGAGCTAGTTCCGGGACTGCTTCCAAAGCTACAAAGAAACCCTGTCTCGAAAGGAAGGAAGGAAGGAAGGAAGGAAGGAAGGAAGGAAGGAAGAAAGAAAGAAAGAAAGAAAGAAAGAAAGAAAGAAAGAAAGAAAGAAAGAAAATCACAGAAAAAATGTTGACTACTGCCCTCTAGAGGCAACAGGAGGCAGAGTTGCAGGGAGAACCTATTTTGGTCTGAGGGTCATTGACAACTTCCTAATTAGGCAGGCTGTCAAGAGTTCTTCCCAGGAGGCTGGAGGTCTCCCTCTATCCTGTACAGACACAACAGAACAGCTACAACCCCTGGAGGGGACCACAAAACAGAGCGAGGCAAGTGGCAGCCAGTGACAAGTGGGTGTATGCTTCCTTGGAAAGTATCAAATCCCCCCCAGCCTGAGTCACCCCAGGGTGTGAACTCAGACCCCACCCATGCTTGTCTCACGTCCAGAGCTCTGTGGGCTTCCCCGATGATACCCCAGGACCTGTCATATCTGGGCTGGGACCTCAGCCTTTGCCTCCAGGCATCTCTCATCCTTAGAGAATGCAAAACCCAGCAATTTCAGGAGGTGTGGCTACACCCCCATCCCACCCCTCCCATCCCCCACCCCCAGTGCCCACCTGTTGGCTTAGCAGCCAGGGGCGATGGCGGGAATCGGGTGGAGTTGGCTGAGGAAAGTCTGGGCCTGCGCCTTCTGAAGAAACTCCTTAACAGCCCACACTTGAGAGACTCCACCAGCGTGGATTTCCCAGATCCCGAGTGGCCGAACAGCTTGAGTTTGATTCTTGGCTGGAGATTCTGTGTGGGTCGGAGTTGCTGGATGAAGAGTCCTCTGTGTGTATCCTGACAGAGGAAGTGGAGAGGGGGGAAGTGAAGGTCTGAACAGACTGTACCCCATGGGCCTTGGGCTTTCGGGTCCTGGGTCTGAACGTCCTACACTGGGAATACATTTCTCTGCTGTTTCCACAGAAACCGTTTTAAAATTAGGGAAGCACATGGCATGTTCTGAAGTGTGGGACCATCTCGGCGCTTTTGTCATCCACAGGAGCCCCAGCCCATTAGCAGTCACTACCCTCGCCATCTGTTCAGCCCCTGACAACCTCTGTTCTCTGTCTCAGGATCTGCCTGTTTCCATGCCATCCGGATCCTAACGAATTGGGTAGGAAAACCTGTGAAGCATCAACTTAGACATGAAATTGACCACTGAGCCTGTTCCTCCCTGTGGAGAGTCTGGAGCATTGGTGGCACTGTCTCTGGCATAAGAAGGTAGACCCTGCCCCTCTCTGGGCTGTGAGGTGGTTCCTTGGAGGCCACTGTCATGGTACATGCAGGGCCTGTTCTGGTTCCTTTCACATGATTGGCCAAGCCTGTTCTGGTATGTGTGAAAGGTCCAGCAGGAGCCTGGGGAGAAGGCATCACAGGTGGAGGCAGCTGCTGCGGGAGGGCTGAAGGACAGCAGAGTGGTCTTGCTCTACCTGTAGGGAGACGTCTCCCCGGCATGGAACCATTCACTCACTCACTCACTCACTCACTCACTCACTCACTCATCCATAAACACAGTGTTCTCCAAGTGTGAAGCTCAGTGCTGAGAACTAGGGAATTCAGGCTGTCAGAT